TGTCAACACTAGGAATGCTCCAATTTATTTTTTTTGTGATAACAGGCTATCGGGCCCTTCACCTTCAGGTCAGTTGTTGAAATGAAGCCCAGATTCAGGAAGACTGAAAGCTGTTACCAGGCTTAAAAGCCTTGTGTGAAATTATTACTTGAGGGACTCAGTGCAGCACACCACGGAGCAACAGCCCTCTCTCAGACCCTACTGCCACTGTCTCAGCATTATTTCATTACAAGCTAACACCACACTGCTGATTATTTTGCCCAGAACAGGAGGATGGACAGGTCCTCCTCATAACATGGCACCCAACCAAGCAGCAGCTGAACGCTGCTCTCGTGCGATCCGTTACCATGCAGACCAACAGAAGCACTGTTCCCTCAGGCACCCTTCGCACCCACTGCAACCGCACTCACAGAGCCACTCCTGCACATACAGCAGGTCACATGCGTGCCCAGTAGCACACTGGGGGCTTGGGAGCAACTTGGAGGGAAGTCTGGTGCTGTGTGACCGCACTAATGCATCGAAAGAGCAGCTCGCCTGCAAATAATAGTAGCAATAAAAACAAGAAATTAGAAACAATGAATGACACACTGGAAAGAAATAATTTAAATGCTATTTTCTTGCTACAATCCCTTGAGAGCATAGGTAATGCTGTCACTTTTCTACCCTTCCTTCCAAGCTTGTATGATAAAACATAGTGGTTTGCAGTACGATGCTGTGTGTATAGTACCTGTAAATGCTTGCTAGTGTATGATAATTTAGAAAGAAAAAAAAAAGAAAGAAAAAAGAAAAAAAGGTCTAATGATAACTAGAAGTTCAGCTCACTTGGCACTTAAGCTATTGCTAAAGATATGAGCAGTAACAGACTTTATATAGACCTAATACACAGTAGATTCAATACCCAGCTAGTTTTTCTAATGTTCCAACTATTTTTTCCTCATTTCAGCATCCTGTCACTTCAAAAAACTTCTCCCTTTGACGGTCCCAAATCTCTGCTAAGGCTCTGCCCTTCAAGGCCTGCTCAGATTTGTTGCCATCTTCTGAATTCATTCCAATTGGTTCACTACCATCTAATCTAGGGGAAGCTGGACTTCAGCTCTGCCTCGGGTGCATTTCTCTGAGAGCGGGCACACTTCACACTGCTGGTGGAATGGAGAGAAACACAGTGCCACCACTGGCAGCATCCAGAACACGCAAAGAAGGAACTGCAGCACTGATTCTGCAACCCCTTATCTCTACTCATCTAAAATGAGCCTCTCCTCCAGAAACAACTGTCTCCTCCTTACACCTGATTCAGAAGCTCCCGTACAACGTTCCAAGCTGACACCTTGGCAACAAGCTCCATATACATAAAGCCCAGAGGGCAGTCAATAATTTCATATTCTGTGCAGAGTTTAAACGGTAGGAGACAAGCAAAGGCCACATACTGAATTTTCAGTAGTAAAGTAATACGGAATTTTGTTCAATATCACCACATCACAGAGATAGAAGATCATGTAACAGACTACACAGACACCTATCTGCGACAGTTTCCTAAACACAGGAGCATTTTGAATTGGAGCTTCAACAATAGAAGGAGGAGTAACAGGGTTTATTTTAACCACTACCTTAGTGGGCTTTTCTCGTTTGCAAGGAAATAAATAAATACAGAGATATGTACTTATTGTGCATGTATTTATGAAATTACATATGCTTATTTATATCAAGATTCCCTCCCTTTCATGTATGCACAGGCTATTACATCTCTAGAGCAGCAGCCTCAAATATACACAGGTGAATAAATGCTATATATAGGATTGTTCAACACATTTAATGTGTGTCCAATAAAGCTGCAAAGCCTCACTGGCCATTTACAGGATCATGGAAAACCTCGACCTACAGAAGCTGTAAAAGGAAATGCTACCTGCTTCCCTGGGTAAACCTTTGCTGTCAGAGATCAAACTGACAGGATCCAGTTGACTTCCCTCCCCTGTCACCATTAATTTCAACTTTTAATTAATACATGCACAGGAAGAATGAAAACAGCTTAGCTGCTCCTCAAAGATTTAATTGCTTAGCTCACTCCAGCAGTGCTACTGCTTGCACCAAAGTACTGGGGGCTGCTGGCTCTTGCTAAACTCTGTTCATTAACACAACCTGTCTCCAATAGAGCATCCTCCTGCTGTGTCTGACCCAGGAAAGTAGGGATTGGGAGAACAGGGACAAGGAACACCCACCTGCCTCCTCCTTTTCCCAGCAGGAGGTAGACACAGCTGGTCACCCACACAACCAGGATGCTGACAGGCAAGGGAAGTCTTTGAAACCTTCTCAATGGACAAGGCTCATATTGATTCTCCCTCAATGCCACTTCTCAGGTTCTCTCCTTGTAACTCCTCCGAAGAGTGGGGACAATTTTCTAAAGATATTCAAAGTCTTAAAATCTCTAAGCTCTGAAAAAAAAAGATGAGTTTGGCCGGGATTATTTTCAGATTCTTTATGCCAAGCTTGGCTCTCAAAGCCACCAAAAGCCACCTTGCTTTCAAGAAGACTGTGCAGTGCCACAAGCATCTTCTTTTTCATTGCTTCCAAGGATTCCTGCCTGGGATCCCAGTGTCTCTCAAAAATCTGCTGGTCTCCAGCTCTGCCCAACCGGCTCTCTCTCTTCAGCCACCACTTCCAGAGGTCTCTCCCGGCCCACTGAGCAGCCCTTGCAAGTAGGCAGTTGGGGGGCCCTCTTATTGCCTACCCACATCTCAGAGGGTACAGTGCCTGACACAAATGCTATCAACCATGAACAAGCAAAGCGTGCCTACTTAACCATACCAATAATATAATTTAAGGTCAAGATTAGGTTTTGGATCCCCATGCACAAAACTGGGACCAGCAGAGAAAAAAAAAAAAAAAAAAAAAAAAAAGGAGCAGGCTATTTAGGGGTATATTAGGACAGATTAAATAAATAAATAAATACAAAAGTATAAGGACACAGAAAAGGAGGGCAGCACCCAGTAAGTCAAGTCTCCACCTAACCTCCTTTAGCACAGTTATCAGCATTCCTATTCAGGTATGTGCATTTGAATCGAAAGAAGTTTCATCAGGCCGAGCCACTCTCTCTACTCAAAATACAGCCTATAAAGCTGCTGAATAGTGGAAGACGGGGACAGGCTCGGTCCACGTCAAAAAAAGCTACACAGCTCAGACCAGAAACAGCATCAGCCATTTCATTTTCCTCTTTACAACATGCTCTTGCACAGCCTGCATACTCTAAGACCAGCCAGCAGTAAAATCCTCCCTGACAAAAGGCAGGGAATAATACAGATTGAAAAAGCGAGTCAGTTCTGCTCAGTCGCTCTGAACAGTGCATGAAGACCAATCTGGAGTCATGCTGGAAAAAACACTGCTTTGGAAGTGTTCAAAATGAGCTCTAGGTGGGAGCTTTACAGGTCTCAAATCCCAACATGACAAGCAGCATGCACAGAAGCTACTACAGACTACCAGAAGTCTTTGCAGCAGGGGAACTCCAGTAAACACTTAACCAGCTTGAATTTACAATATAATCCTTCCAAAAGAAGAGATCAGCCCCTGTTTTTTCTTTAAAGCCACGCTCACCCCTGAGCACGGCTTTTGGAAAAGACAGATGGGAATTTAAGACAGGCATCAACTTAAAACCCCAGCTAATGTTTTACTTGCTATTTTCTATTTTATCTCAAAACCTTAATGTTCTGTGTATAAGAGAAAAATAATCAGCAACAAAGACTGCCAAGAAAATAATTCAGGGCTGTGATTAGAGATCTAAGGGAGGTGCTTCCAGCCCCTGTCAACCCACAGTTGAATAGAATCTAAAAAGTCAAGAAATACGCACCTGTCTCCCAAATACTTAAACAAGAAGCAAAGGACAATGATGGGACAAAATTTGAAACAACGATCATTTTCAAGTGGCCATTTCCCATGTGCAAATGCTCCCACTAAGGCAGGAGGAGAGAGAAGGTTTCCTATGTCACCATTCTTGTTATCCTGTCGACCAAGATCTGTTCTTTAAAGAACAAACTGAGGATCCCCCCAGAAAATACTTTATTGAAGACCTGACACAGAAGAATTCACTACAGCTATGACTTTCAACTCTCAGACTATTCACTTAGGGGGAATCTGTGGGCTACTAAGCATTCTGAATAAGTTTTGTCATTAGAAATTTGTCTTTAGTAACTGGATTTTCTTTTATTCCATCCTTTTTTCATGAGTTTTAAAGCAATTATTTTACAAGAAAAATAAACTAAAATTAACTACACTACACAACACTGGTTATAGTTTTACAAAGCAACAGACCCCTTCTCATTGATCATCTCAGCACAGTCAGCGTGTGATTCATGAAGCTGTGCCTCTAGTTGCTAAGAACAGAGATACACCTTAATTAATACTAACGAGCTCGAACTCAGGAGCTTCACATCTGTCAGACCTCACAGGAGCACCAGCTCAAACTGGAATCTCACTGGGAACTTTTACTGTCAGGTGCAGAAGCACAAAGATATTACAAAGTGGTGGTGTTTACAAAGAATGTATTAATCATCTTTGATGTCTGTCAGATTATCACCGACGGTGCCAACTTGGGTTTTAGCAGAGGATGGGGTACCACAGCTTACAAAACTACCTGAAAATGTCTGCATCCATGAGCTGAACATCCACAGACTTGGAAATAAGCTATCAAACTATGCCAAAACACAGTTTACAGTACTTGAGAAATAAAATGTACTTCTTTCTTGTGGCAGAATCTGCAGAAACAAGGAAAACAAAAGTGAAGCTTTTACATGAGCAATAACATGATGCAAATGCATTTAAACAAGAGAACAGAGTAAAAATCACTGGGAAGTCCTCACCAGGCAAGAATTGTTCCACTTCCTAGTTCAGGACTCCCACCTTCGTGTTACATTCTCCAACTCACCTATCTGCAGAAGTAAATATGCCAAACTACTGGCAGCTGATACCAGCTCTTAAATTCACCTCCAGCCCCTTCCTGAGAAATACATCCCCAAAAACATCATTCTGCTAATGGCTCCAAGTCACTTGGCTCAAACGCCGTGTCCTGGAACCTAATGCTGAAAAGCATTTCCTGTTGTTGTTTTGGGGGTGTTTATGTTTTTTTTTCGTTTCTCTTTTCAAACCATGGAGCTCCCGTTTATAAATAAGCTTTTTCACACTCCTACCGAAAGGAAGGAAATAACTCCTTACACAACTCTTATTTCAGCAGTTTGTAAAGTCCCGATTAACTGGTTGTGAAAGAAATAACAAACATCAGCCGAAAGCTGATCAAGAGCATCAGCCTTCGCAGTAAAGGCGAAATGGTTTCCATCGGCACCTGGAGCACCGAGAGAAAAAACGAGAACTGTTTTCTTTTTAAGAATTAAGGGGCCCGTTTTGTTCCCCATTGTGTGGAGGAGAATTAACAGCCACTTGAAAGCACGGAAGAACATTCTGCCGCTTTGAAAGCCGCCCGCTTTCACTGCCAGAGCCCCGCGCGCCCTCCGCACGCCCTGCTGCGCACCTCGACACCATCGCACCGCCACAGCCTCTCCAGGAACCCGCGGTGCTACCAGCGAACCAAACTTCACCTGTTTACTCGCAGCCTTTTACACGGGGCGGAAACCTGCTTCTAATTTCAGCCTCTCCGCACCGCAGCCCCCGACCGCCGTCACCTCGCACCTCAAACGGCCGCGGGAGGGGCGCGCGAAGCTCCGCAGCGGCGAATGAGGCGCCCTGCCGCGAGCAGCCGCCCCTTGCCCAGGGAGTAGTGTCGCGACCCCTTCACGCACAAACCCCCGACCCAGGACTGGGGGACTTCCACACAAAATGGCCGCCTTGAACCCATTTGCTGACGGCCATTTTGTGTGGAAGCCCCCCAGGCACTTGTAGATGGCACCGCTGCCCAAAGCCCTGGCACTTGGGTTTGTCAAACTCCTTGTCCATCCCCTCACAAACACGGTGAACAGGGCCCCGCTGAGGAAGAGAGAGGTTCTGGGCCTGTCACCCTTACAGCAACAACCTGCAGAAGTAGGTCTCTAGGGACACATGCATTGGTTAAAAGGCTGGAGACTTGAACCAGACAACATTGGTTTCCATCTTCTCATTATTTGCCAGGTATTAGGGCAGTGCTAATAAATTCTTGCTACAACATTACTTGTTCATTAGCTGAAATAAAGTGGCCCTTACTGGAAATGATTTGATTAGATTCATTACGGTAACCTTTCCACCACCAATAATAATAATAAAGGGTCCGAATTCTGTGCATAGCCATTTGTATCAGGTCTAGCAGCACTTGGATTTTAGGGCTTTTTTAACATAGCTCGCCCTGATCCCTCACAGAGGCAGCTAGTTGGAAGAGAGACAAGCACCAAACGTGTGATGAGAGATCATCCACATTTTAATGAAACAGACTTTAAGGGATGCCATCTCACTTCTTTTTTTTTTTTCCTTATCAAAGCTGTAGTGTTGAGACTTAAATAAATGACTTAAAACACATTCCAGCAGCATTTGTTCTCTCTCTTCACAAAATAACACAAACCCCAAAGCTGAAGATAGTTAATTAATCCCATACCTTTGATGGAACAAAAGTTGACATTGTGGCTTCATATATCCAGGAAAAGCCTCCAAGGAGGAGACTGAAGACTGAAAGTGATTTCCTTGGTTCCACCAAGTAACAGGTCAAGCCAGTGTCAATCTGCACAGTGCTGATGAAAGGCTGTGCCAAACGTAGTTACGTGATGAAGAGAGGAGCTCAGCAATGCCCATGGGTCACTATGGAAGGAGATGAAAGCAGGGAAGTTGTTACCAGTGTTCAAATAAATAAGTGCCAATGCCAAACAATCTAGGATTGACAAGGAAAGCAGTTAAAATGAGGCGGAGAACAAAAATTGAACTAAACGAATTGTCTCCAGATATCTTAAAAACAAACAAACAAACAAAACAACAACAACAACAAACAGAGCTTGCGAAAAGGGAAAAGGAACCAGAACATCTTAACACACCGCTATATCTAGCCCTGTTTGAGCAGGGTGGCGGCAGGGGTTGCTCCACAGATGCCTTCCAACATCAACTATTCTGTGATTCTGGGAAGCTGCTGGGCTTATTCTCATGCATAAATTCACAAACAGAAGGAAGCCACAGATGCATATAGCTAGGTGGACTGTGAAGGTATAAGGCAGGCAAGAATCAATGTACTTGTATGAAAAACATTCCAGGGGGCAAACAACAAGGACAAAACCAACATGACCACGTCCACAGAGCTGCAGAATCTTGGCTCTCTCCCTCTTAACTCTCTACCTTTAGATGGGGAGATCAGGTCTGTCGTGGAACTGGAGATGTTGAAGGAGGAACAATGGCTCTCTGGAGATCAAGTCAAAAAGTGCAGTAGACAGCACTGCATATTTTCTTCCAAACACAAAAACAGCTTTACTTGGAGTATGATACAGCTAGAGAGGTTGAAAAAATAAACACTTCCACCTACCACCACCACTTTTGTTGCTGCCGTTATAGAACACATACAAAGCTGTTACCTCTCACATGCCAGCCATGTTCCACCTTGGCAGGGTGTATTCTGCATCCATATACTCCCTTTGAAGCATCAAAAAGAAGAATTGCTCCCACACTCTCTGCCCTGCTGTCTATGACTCCTTTTGCAGTGATGGAAAGAAAGACAGAGAA